AGATATCGATTAGTTTCGAAAAGAACCTTGATATTAGCAATTTAGTTTATGGAAAATATATAAATCACAAAAAATACTAAAGCGCCGAATGTTTATTTGACCTTTGTCAAATTTCTTAGTTTTTTTTAGGAATTTAAAGACTAAAAAAAAACAGATCTAAGCAAGTATCTGATAATAATGTGAATCCTATAAACTAAATGTGTTGAAAAGAATCACCAGTTTGCTGACTAAAGAGAGAGAAATCTATAAGTCAGGAGAGCAATCATTCAAAAAATTTTCTCCTTTTAACGCATTATAAAAAAAAAAGAGAAAAGTATATTTATATATACTTATAATATTTTCAGGATTGCATTGTGTGTTCAAAAGAAATAAAGATTAGGAGAATGTTAGTGTGACTAACTCAATCAATGTTTTCTCTAGTATAGAGATAAACAAAAAAATTGAAATTGATGAATGGCATAATTCAAAATTATATTCATTTTTTTTTCAAGAAAAATTATACATGATGGTATCACAAAAAAACTTAAGACACGAAGATACCTATAATAATTTTCCAAAAACTAGGAATAGTTTTGTAAAAGCAAAACGTCATATTAATGCAATTCGTCTAGAAGGATATCTTAAAGAGAATTCTTTCTCTTTTAACCAATTCGATAAGAATCTATTATCAAAAAAGAGAAAAAAGTCTTTAAACGAAAAAATCTTTCAATTCATACCAAAGATACTAGATTGTGAAGAACCACAGGATAATTCTCTTGTTCCAAATGAGTTGTTGAAAAAAAAATGGAATACATACAGTTCTATACATTCAGGATTATCTTCTCTTGAAGATAAATGGCAATCTTATGATTCTTTTGTTGAAGGAAAAGTCCCTTCTTTCATACATCCTGAAATATTAGTTCGTATTTTACGTACTCAAATAGAAGACGTATCCTTAATACACTTATTTAGACAAATATTACATAAAAACATTTGTGAAGTAGACAAAAAAAATTCTTTGAACAAGAATTTTCTATCCAGTATATTAGGAAAAATGTTATTGAACTGGTATACATTAGAATACGATAAATTCTTCATATTCCATATATCACATTTGCTATTGCCAAATAACTCTTTAGATCAATCTTCAATGAATGATTTAAGTAGTGCAAAAAAGATTACAATATGGAATTCCAATGTATCTAAAACAAATGTATCTAAAAAAAAGGAAGCAAGTTGTAAAAAAAAAATATATTCAACTTCTTATAAAGAACCCTTTTCTTATGAAAAAAATTCCATTACTTATAAATACATACGTGCAAAAAATATTTGCTTTTTGAATCTACAAAATTCATCAAAAAACAAATCTGTTATAGAACACAGATATCTTAATTTCTTGCAATATCGTATAGGATTTGTATGTAATTCAAATAAACTCAAAACTGTTTTAGTAGAAAGTCCTAGTCTTTTTTTAGGTTTTCTATTACAGTTCAAAATCAAAAACACATTTCTTCGTATACATATATATACTGATCACTTAAGATGTTTGTTTAATAGAAAATCTCTAGTCATATTGAATCCATTACTATGGCTTATGCGAATATTAGCCACATATCGCTTTTGTACTTCTTTTGGGTATCCAATTAGTAAATCAGCATGGTCAACGTGCTCTGATATTACGATTATAGATCGATTTAAACAAATCAGAAATAGTCTGCTTAAGTATTATAGTGGATCTATTAATCAAAAAGACTTATCACGTATCAACCATATCTTACATTACTCATGTGCAAAGACATTAGCATGTAAACATAAGACTAATCTTAGAAAAATATGGAAAAAATATGGGAAACAACTTGTAAACCATTATCAACTTGAAAAAACTAGAAACAGACTTCTATCAGAAAAAAATCTGATAAGTTATTCAAAAATGAATATAAGATGGTGGAATTCTTACTTGAAAAAACCTGATCCTATGAGTACTTTGTTAGAAAACATTTATCGTTTACAAAAAAACTAGAAACATACATAATAAAGTTAATCAAAAGAAAAATCATACTCCTATATCTTTTCTTTAAGAACTATACAAAGAGAGCCGTGTGCAATGAAAGTTGCAAGCACGGTTTGGGGAAGAGGTTGTTTTAGAAAATAATAAACTCAAAAATTAACCGACTTTCATCA